TTAGATTTGAAGTATTTGTTTCGGTCTACTTCTTTCCCATGAGGAGTTGAGATTTTAGCTGCCGCAAAGAGTACTTCTTCCAGGGCGCTCGTAGTATAGTCGATGTCCGATTCCATGTTAAATTCCGCGCCGAGTTCTATGTGGGCATTCACGTACTTTTTGTATTTTAGCCAGTTCGTTTTTGGCGTCGTCAGGCTGAAGGGGTGTTCGGTTATTTCTGGGCTTTGAAGAAACGTTAGAAGCACAGGCGAGTGGTCTGATGATAAGTCCGAGACTGCTTTGGCACTTATTAGATTGCGAGGTATGTTTTTTGTCACTGCAAAATCAATAAGGTCTGGGAGCTTTCGTGAGTCTGTTAGCCAGTATGTGGGACTTCCAGGGGAAACGTAGTCCAGTTTATTTTTCACATTTATAATTGCATTGTACAATTTTCTTCCTTTGGGAGTCACTAGACGTGATCCCCAGTGCGTATGTTTGGCGTTGTAGTCTCCTGCGGCTATAAATCGATCCCCAAGTGAATTGTAGAAGTCCATAAATTGTCCTTCCGAGATTGGGAAACGACGAGTGCAGTAAACGGCAGCGATTGAAAGGATTCCGTTGCTTGACTGAATTGACTGAATCTTATATGAAAGTTTTATTTGCTTGTAAGATGCGTTTCCACCAGTAGCATAACGTCAATATGGTTTTCGGTCAAGAATTGAGACAATTCTAGTTTATGCCGTGAGACACCATTGGCGCTCCACATTGATACTCGTAGCGCCTGCATAGATTATTTAGACTGTTGTGCTACGAGCAGGTGTATCACCATGTTCTGGTTTTGAACAAGCGTTTGCATGGTCGTTTTCATAAATGACATAAGCTCCATCATACTTTGTTGGAGACTAAGCATCATAGTTTCCGTTTTGCTGTGTGGCTGTTTGGGGCCTGTTGAGCGCTTTGAGAGTTAGGCTGAATTGGAATTTCCCTTCCAGATCGTAGAGCATCGGCATAGGAGAAGCCATTGGTGGTGTTTAGTGGACCGAATGAGGATCTCGCAGCTTTGGCGAAGAAGACGTCTGGCGTAGTTTTTGACGCAATGTACGCATTCTGTGGATTTGGTTGCGCGTTGTGGTCGCTTGATGCATGCGACTCCTTAACTCCTTATACACCATACATCCTCTATAGTTTGCCGTATGGTTGCCTCCGCAGTTTCCACATTTCTTCACGGTACTGTCCTTGTTTGTAGTGCAGTAAGCGGACTTGTGGGCGTCCCCGCAGACTACACAGACAGCCCGAAATGTGCAGTAAGACCTTGTGTGTGCATACTCTTGACAATTAGTGCATTGCACTGGACCGTTGCGTTTATGTGGCTCTTCAACAGTGATTTTGCGATGAAAAAGATATTGCAGGTTGTAGATTGGGTAGACTTCGTTCTTCTTCAGCGACCTGCTTTCAGGCTCGAGCCCGACCTCGAGGGGTTGTGGCTTTTTATCTTTATTTAGAATGTTAATAACATTCATGGCGGCGAAGCCCTTTTCTTTTATGGCGGTTTTTCCGCGGCGGTAACACCCTTACTGCTTTTCAGCTGGTTCGTGTAATAGTTTTTCTGTACAGTGTCCAGATATTTGGACACGATTCGGAAGTGCTCTTCAGTCTTGGTTTGCACCTTTGTTTCATGGATGTTCCCTTTCATAAGCGGAACAACATGAAAGATGTCACCGTTCCCGATCAACGACACAATTTTGTTGACCAGGGCACTCGAGCTTTTCTTCCTAATATAGATTGAAGGCGGCTTGAGTTTTTTTGCGGTGTCTTGAGCTGGTTGGTTTTCCTTAACCTCCGCCAGTAGGGAAAATCTGTTATTAGTGGATCTGTCTGGTTCTTTATCGATCTTCAGGACACGGTTAATTTTTGTTTTATTGCCTGCCGGATTACTCTGCGGGCTAGGCTTGCGCTTAATTTGTATGTAGCGATCCATTCCAGTCTGTGTGGCCGTGGCCGCTTTGGCACTTTCCGAAGTTGTTGTTTTTGTACTCGCTGTAGTCGTTGATGTTGCGGTACTTTGAGTTGCAATGGTTGTCGCTGTGTATGCAGAAATTGTAGCACTGCTAGTTGTTGGTACGAAATTTATTTCCGGTATTGGAGGGGGGGTTTTACACTGCGAACTCCATGACGCGGGAGTCGGAGTGAGCAGACCGGGTGAGCAAGACCGTGCCCTTTGGGATTCAGCGGTCAATAAAGCCGGGTTGCTCTTAATCGCCGATTTTTCCGATTCAACAATAAATTGTATTAGTTATAATTATAAATATAAATTTATAATTAATTCATTTTTTTTTTTATTTATTTGTTACGCAGCCGGGTATGCCGTCGGCACGCACCCTGTACGTAGTTCACCCCAAAGAAAAAAAAACAGCACCAAAAAAAACACAACACGGCTTCTGCGGCGGCTAATTTGTAGTGGAATGGCGGGTTATAATTGTTGGTTTTAAAAAAATTTTATTTTTTATTTAATTTTATCAGTTATGTATTTGAAATTGGAGGCAGAAAATATATGGACATGCATGCAAGTACGGATATATGTAAGGGCATGTGGGGCATATGTTGGCACAGTGGAGCGTTGATAAGTGGACTTTATAACTGGGGGAACAGAAAAGTTATGTGGTGTAAAAAATGACACTGATTGGGGAAGGAAAAGAAACAAATATTATGACAACGGCGGACTGTTCGGTGAATTTGGAAATTTCCGGAACTAATTCACACCGGTTGTCCGATATGAATTATGCCTTCTTTTTGTCACCACACAATTTCACTGTTCACTTGCGAATTTTTCGCGGATCAATTGCACCAAAACAAAATATATATGTGTGTATGTATTTATATGGATGCACATACATATGCCTCGACCGTTGGCTAGCGAATGGGTAACGGAGAGGCCGAAAACAGCGAGGAATATGGCAAAGCACACAAAACGGAGACGGTTGGAAAAATTTGCAGAATTTGAAGATAAAGAAGAGTAGAAAATCTCAAACTGCGGTTGTGTCGGAAAACTCGGACTTGGAGTTGACACGGAGGAGAAAAAAAAACTTTCAGCAGCGGCGTGAACGAAATTTAATGTTCGGACGGACCACAGCTGAAAACCGGCACAGACGGAGACGGAAGAATGTATTTATCTTTTAGCGGAACAATGTCAAGAACTGCTGGTAGAAGAAAAACCAAGAATTATCCGGCTCGAAGAACCAAAATGTTGTAGGGGGCGTTGCTGCCGAAAAAGATTCCGGGAAAAATGAAATAAGAAATCGGGGGCGTCGTGAGGTTATACGCATTCAGCTTTATACGCTGTTTACATGAGACTAAAAACTTAATTCAGTAGAAATAAACGCTACAACCAGAGCGGCCGACGACTGCCGACGAGAGAGAGAGAGAATGCATAGAGGGGCGAGCGCATCCGCGCTCTTCACCACGGATGAGCCCTTCAGCGCGGGTGCGCTCTTCAGTTTTTCAGTTCAGCTAAGCGGCGGCCCAACGGCCCCTCACCTAAACAATTTAATTACATAAGCTATTATTACATAAGTTTACAGAGCATCATCAATCAATCATCAATAAGGTCCACCAATAAGCGGAAGGTGGGCCTTAAGCGGCTGGAAAAGACAAGACGAGGAAGCGTTAGGAGTATTCCCGCTAGAATGAGAACAGGAAAAAATATGCTGTCTTCACTAGATCCAACCATAATTAATCAGAAATTTGTTGAAAATTTATGTTTATGATTCAATGCAAATTTATTATTTTTAAGTTTATTCGTTTTTAAATAACACGTTTATGTCTTTAAAGTTATGCAATTTTTCACCCCATTTATCAGCTGTACCATTATCATTAATTTCATAACATGTTGAAGGTATCGGTGAAATTTTATTTTTACGGTGCGGCAAAATTGTATCATATAAATACACAATGCCACCGGTGGCTCCAGGTACAGCACTGCCCTGAACCCAAATCACGTTGTACTTTAAATTCGTGCGCAACACTTGTAATCCTTTGTTTATACGCCATCGATTACCCATATGTCCAGGCATCTTTGTTCCTGGCCAAACACGACCCTTTTCACCTCCTCCACCTATGTTGCCTGCTCGACGATGTGTCTTGGTAACACCATGGGATGCAGGCATTCCTTTAAAACCAAAACGCTTTACGACACCTTGAAATCCATAATCAACACTGAAAAAAAAAATGGTTCATAACTTGTCAAAGATTATCTTATGAGGAAATACTTTCAAATTGTCGATTAATTACCGACTTCGTGATTTGATAGAAATTATTGGAGTGTAAAACAATACCCTTCTAAAAGCATTAGATAGGGACAAGGGCTAAACATTGATTGTTACGAGTGAGTAAATATTTTATATTTATTATATTTATTAGTTTAATAAACTTTGCTTTACTTCAAACTGTAAAACTTCTATTCTTACCGTCTTATCTACACAACACTTTTACTTTTTAAAGCACACATTAGACATAGCCCCGAACGTACCGACGTGATTTGATAGAAATTGTTGGAGTGTAAAACAATACCCTTCTAAAAGCATGATATAGGGACAAGGGCTAAACATTGATTGTTAGGAGTGAGTAAATATATTATATGTATTCTATTTATTAGTTTAATGAACTTTGCGCCGAGCGTACACTGACATTACGAATATTTTCACGACATTATACAAATTTTTTACAATAATATAGTAAATTTACAATACCATTTTTAATATAATATGGACACATTTCTACAACAGTCAACCTAACCATTTTTGCCGAATAATTATTTTCATAAGCTAATTTTTTGTAAGCTTAAGTTTACAGAGCATCATCAATCAATCATCAATAAGGTCCACCAATAAGCGGAAGGTGGGCCTGAAGCGGCTAGATAAGACAAGACGAGGAAGCGTTAGGAGTATTCCCGCTAGAATGAGAACAGGAAAAAATAAGCTGTCTTCACTACATCCAACCATAATTAACCAGAAATTTGTTGAAAATTTATGTTTATGATTCAATGCAAATTTATTATTTTTAAGTTTATTCGTTTTTAAATAACACGCTTATGTCTTTAAAGTTATGCAATTTTTCACCCCATTTATCAGCTGTACCATTATCATTAATTTCATAACATGTTGAAGGTATCGGTGAAATTTTATTTTTACGGTGCGGCAAAATTGTATCATATAAATACACAATGCCACCGGTGGCTCCGGGTACAGCACTGCCCTGAACCCAAATCACGTTGTACTTTAAATTCGTGCGCAACACTTGTAATCCTTTGTTTATACGCCATCGATTACCCATATGTCCAGGCATCTTTGTTCCTGGCCAAACACGACCCTTTTCACCTCCTCCACCTATGTTGCCTGCTCGACGATGTGTCTTGGTAACACCATGGGATGCAGGCATTCCTTTAAAACCAAATCGCTTTACGACACCTTGAAATCCATAATCAACACTGAAAAAAAAAAATGGTTCATAACTTGTCAAAGATTATCTTATGAGGAAATACTTTCAAATTGTCGATTAATTACCGACTTCGTGATTTGATAGAAATTATTGGAGTGTAAAACAATACCCTTCTAAAAGCATTAGATAGGGACAAGGGCTAAACATTGATTGTTACGAGTGAGTAAATATTTTATATTTATTATATTTATTAGTTTAATAAACTTTGCTTTACTTCAAACTGTAAAACTTCTATTCTTACCGCCTTATCTGAACAAAACTTATACTTTTTAAAACACACATTAGACATTGCCCCGAACCTACCGTCGTAATTTGATAGAAATTGTTGGAGTGTAAAAAAATACAATTCTAAAAGCATGAGATAGGGACAAGGGCTAAACATTGATTCTTACGAGTAAGTAAATATTTTATATTTATTCTATTTGAGTACAACTTCAACCTCCGAAGAGATAAGTCGTGCCAAAACAGCGTAATCCTAGCCTCGCGCAAACAAAAACAAAATTATCAGCAAAATTTCGCACAAACAAATATTAACCACAAAAAGAAAATAAAAAACCCAACAAAACCAAACACACGAAAACCTCTAATACGGGCTTAAGCCCTTCAACCAATCATGACGGACCCACCTGACATTTTCAAAATTACATCAAAATCGTACCATTCCCAATTAGGCGACCCCAAATTTATTGTAATCAAAAGAAAAGACAACGGCTCGTTCGAAAAAATTTCACCATTCATAATTAAAAAATCTGTAGACTTTGCCTGTGGAGGAGAAGTTGACGGATGCAAAAAAATAAGAGACGGAACACTATTAATAAAAACTAAAAATGAACTGCAAGCCAGAAAGCTACTTAAACTTACAACAATCGTAGAAATGGAAGTAACAATAGGCGAACATAAAACACTGAACTTTTCTAAGGGAGTTATTTATTGTAACGACCTTAGATATATTGACGAAGACACTATTCTACAAGAACTAAAACCACAAAAAGTAAGCGAAGTTAAAAAAATAATGAAACGGCAAAACCCCAACACTAACTCCGGTAGCAACAACACCACTCTAGTTGAAACAGGATTGATCATCATTACATTCGACACACACAAACTCCCAGAAATATTGCGAATTGGCTACGAAACAGTGCGTGTACGAGAGTATATCCCACTTCCACTCCGATGCAGAAAATGCCTCTGCTTTGGTCACCCAGCACCAATATGCAAAAGCTCCGAAACTTGCACCTATTGCTCAGAAACAAAACACACAAACGACGGAGAAACATGCAAAAACGAAAAAAAATGCCTAAACTGCAAAAACAACCCAGAACTTGACCATCAGCACAGCCCAATTGACCGCAAATGCCCCAACTTCATAAAAAACCAAGAATTAACAGCCATTAAAACCACACAAAAAGTTGATCACAGCCCAATTGACCGCAAATGCCCCAACTTCATAAAAAACCAAGAATTAGCAGCCATTAAAACCACACAAAAAGTTGATCACAAAACTGCCCAACGTATTTATTTCGAACGACACGGATCTCAATTGAGGAACACCTATGCCAAAGTACTTGCAAACGCCACAACTCAGAAGACAACAAACCGTGAATCACCGAATACTAATATAAATACATATACAAACACAACACAACCACAACATAAAAACTCGAACAGCACACCCACATCAGGAATCCATTTTCCGCCATCAAATGCAACAGCTACCGGATTAGACATAATAACTTTACCATCAAGCCAAACTCTTCAAAACCATCACCACCACGATTACGACAAACTAGAAGACATGGATACTGACTGCATCACACATACCAGAAAACTAACCACACCATACTCGTCACAACTCTCAGAAGACTCACTAAAAATAAAAATCTTTCATAAAGATAAGTCTAAAAATCTAACAACTAACCTTAAAGCATCTAAGACTAAGGCCAAAGCGCTAAACAAAAACAAACACGCTAACAACAGCGACAGCGAATCCATATAGAACCTTAAACTCTAAGCAAGACATAAATTTAAACCGTTAATACTTCTAATAAGTTAAGTTACAAGCTTTCATCTTCACTAAAATGTCATTAACAGTAATTCAATGGAACTTAAAAGGATATGTAAATAACTATAACCAACTCCTTATTCTCATCAAAAAATATTCACCGCATATAATCTCCCTCCAAGAAACCCACACACAATACACTAATAACATACCAATCCCAATAAACTACAAACTATTAACAAACATAGCAACCAACATGTTTGGCGGTGTAGCACTTTTAGTTCACAAGTCAATTCAACACACTACCCCTAACATCACAGACGACCTAGAAACAATAACCATAAATATACAATCTAAACTAAAATTAAACATATCTTCAACATACATATCTCCTACCAAAAACATTACTATCCAGACACTTAAAACACATTTAACACACAACAAGCACCTTCACTAATCATGGGGGATTTCAATGGATGGCATCCTTCCTGGGGCTCACCAACAACAAACACACGAGGAAAAATAACTCAAAGATTCGTTGACAATGCACACCTTATTCTACTGAACGACAAATCCCCCACTCACTTTTCAACCCACAATACTTACACACACATCGACCTTACATTCTGCTCTCCAATTTTGGCCCCCCACTCTAAGTGGGAAATACTGAACGACCTCCATGGTAGCGACCATTTTCCTATTATCATCACCCTATTCCCATCAACCAATACAGAAAAATTCAACAGACCCTTCTTTAAGCTAAAAGAGGCCAACTGGGAAAAATACAACCTTCTTACCCAGCAATCAAACGTAAAATACCCAACCTCTCAAAACGTAAACAAAGAAGCAGCCCAAATTAACAGAATTCTTCTATCTAGCGCAAACCTTTCCATCCCACAAACTTCACCAAATATCCATCCATACAGGGTTCCATGGTGGAACAAAATACTCGACCAGCTACAAAAATAAAAACAAAAAGCGTGGAATACACTCAACCGCCACATAACACTAGAAAACATCAAAGACTACAGACGTAAAAATGCAAAATGTAGATACACCTTAAAAAATAGTAAAAACGAAGCCTCTAGATCCTTCACTTCATCAATCCATCCGTCATCCCCTTCATCCAAAATATGGGCGAATATAAGACGTTTTTGCGGACTTAACCCAGTCAAGCAAATCCACGTCATAACAAACCCAGACAACAACGAAGTAACTACAACTAATAACGAAATTGCCAATATCTTTGCTAAACATTTTTCAAATCTATCAGACGACATGAACTTCCCAGAACAATTTCGAAACAACAAATATAGAAACAACACTGTAGACTACACACCCTCCCCATCAGCTCAAACCATAGAAAAACAGATTTCAAACCTCGAACTAGCGTCAGCACTACAAACCCTTAAAGGATCTGCCCCAGGACTCAATAGAATCTCGTACCAAATGATCAAAAATAGCTCCAATACTACAAAAACAGAATAACAGACCTATTTAACAAAATATTCGACACTCACATACCACAAGCCTTCAAAACCAGCCTTATAATTCCTATCCTGAAGCCAAACAGTGACAAAACCCAAACTACCTCTTACAGACCCATCTCCCTCAATTGTTGCCTAGCAAAAACACTAGATAAGATCATAGCCAAAAGACTTTGGTGGTTTGTAACTTACAACAATCTGCTTAATAAAAACCAATTTGGATTTAAAAAGGGCAAATCGATTTCGGACAGTCTAATTTACGTAGACTATCTCATATCGAAGTCACACCAGCACAGCTCACTCGTCACTCTTGATTTTTTAAAAGCCTTTGACCGAGTAGGTGTGCATTCTATAATCGACCAACTTCAGGAATGGAAAACTGGGCCAAAAATAATAAACTACGTCCGAAATTTTATGCTTAACAGAAAAATAATAATCCGTGTCGGTCAACACAGATCCAACACACTACCCTTATCCAATGGAATCCCTCAAGGTTCCCCAATCTCCGTCATACTATTCCTTATAGCTTTTAACAAATTGTCCGATATAATATCCTTACACAAGGAAATCAAATTTAATGCATACGCCGATGACTATTTTCTAATAATTAACTTTAATAAAAATAAAAATATTAGCTTTAACCTAGGCAACCTTTTAAATGACATAGAGAACTGGGGTTCATACTCCGGGGCATCCCTATCCCTATCAAAATGCCAACACCTCCACATTTGCAAAAGCACAACTGCACCTGTGTCGTAACATTCAATAGCATGCAAATCCCCACAGTTAGCTCGTTAAAAATCTTAGGAATAAATATAGACAGCAAATACAAATGGAACACACACATAGATAAACTTATACCTGCACTTCACAAAAAACTAAATATAATTAAATGCCTATCCAGTCTCAAGTTTAACTGCAGTACATACACATTAATCAACGTAGTAAAAGCTACTATTGTTGCAAAAATAGAATACGGCCTATTCCTATACGGACACGCACCCAAAACAACACTAAACAAATTAAAACCGCCTCTAAACTCTGCCATTCGCCTAGCGCTCGGAGCCTTTCGTTCCACCCCAACAAATAACCTCCTACAAGAAGCCAATATCCCTCCAATAGAATTAAAACGAGATCTGCAAACAGCCAAACTAAGTAAAAACCTTATTTATTCCAAAGACACACCAATACACAAATTCGTAAAACAAAGTAAACTTAAAAGGAAATATCCACCAATTATAGACCGTATAATAAACCTCTGTGAACAATTTCATCTACCCTTCGAACCACAAACACCAAGCAAACTCAAGCCACCCTGGGACCTACCCAACCTTATAGACACATCCATAAGATTACATAAAAAAAGTAACACACCCAAAGAAACATACCAGAAAATATTCGAAGACACAAAATCAAACCTCAATTCACACAACTTTATATTCACTGACGGATCAAAAATAACCGACATTATAACATACGCCATAACAACGGAAACAAACA